CGGCCTATGTGCATATTTCAGGCAAACAGCTTTCTTCACATCTAGCTAAGGTTTGACAGAGAGATTTAATAAAAATACTTCTGGCGAGAGAGAGCGAAGGGGCAATGTCTTTATATTCCCCTTTGTGCATATTTCAGGCAAACAGCTTTCCTTAAAGCTAGCTAAGGTTTGACAGAGAAATTAGATTTWAAAAAAAATCGTAATGGGAACAAAGTAGCTTCGCTTGATATCTACCCCTATCTGGGCATTTTGTATTTTGTGCAAACAGCTTTCTTCACAACTAGCTAAGGGAAATTAGATGAAGCAAGTCTGCCGTAATGGAGTGAAAGAGCAAGATTTATGGTTTCTTATCGTCCTCTGCGTGAGTATTTTAAGCAATGGAGCACTCCAAAAATTAAAGTATTTTTAGCCACGTTACAAACATATATCAAAAGGGTTCCATGCTGTATTGACCACCGCAGACTTGAAACACAGTATTGTATTCAACCATATATTACACTAATTGCGTTTTTTATCAATTAGCAAGAATTTTAACTTGATTACTGTTAGTTATCTACATTTTAGGATAAGAAGAATGATGATTGGTTCAAACGTACATACACATTGCATTTTTAAAGAAGCATTACCATACACTCCTCTATTTAAAAAAAAAGGTTGTCGGGGCAGAACGGCGAACGGCGATGGTCGAAGGGAGAATTCTTGACCTAAAGAGACTATGATTACCGAGTTTGACATACAAAATTTCACTTGTTGGGTCCACCTTRCGTAAAATGGAGTCTAAATGGAGCCAATGTTTACCACAGACTTACAATATAAACTATCTTAGAGTATAAACGAGTTTTTTATATCTTCAATTAAAAAAAAAAACATGGCTCCTTTCGGTCGTGCAATCTGCCATTTTCCATTTTGTCCGACGACCTATTTTTAAATAGGCATATCCAAGAATATATGTACGTTGCATAGATACCATAATTTCTTAATGTATTTATTCATTTATTTATTGCTATTTGTCCTTGTTCTTTTCTTGTTTATCTTTCTAGWTTTTCGAAACAAATAAAACAAAAAACAAAATAATGATAAAGAGAAATTAAAATTAAGAAAACCCGCACATTTATGTCGGCATTTCAATACTATAAAACGATGTTCGCTTTTTACGAAGGAWATTTCAACACAAATCCGGCCAAGATCACGTAGGTAAATAGCCTTGGGGTATCATTTAGATTTCCCCAGCGAGGGGTTTCACTAATCTARACTATCGCCAAGGCCACTGRGGAGTGAGCTCAAAGAGCGATAATGCAGTCTTTTCTTCTGTYTATGTCAAACCGAATGATATGTTCTAAGCATGATCAATTTCAGCTGCAATATAAATAAGAAGCACTCAAATTGTCACGTGACTTAATTATTCGATAGCAATTCCATATAAGACTTTTAAGCTCAAAAGTTCCGGTGTTTTGCGATCAGTATTTATAACTGAAAGAAAAATGCACACAMATTTTACTAYTCAATCGTTAAACCAAGYGATGGACGAARAATGATATTAGGAAGGTTAGTTTTTTGATTGTTAAATTAAGAAACTGAATTCAACTAAGAGACCTTTTCGYGGTTAAAACCAAAGCGGGCAACATGTTTGCTGCAGCTTTRAAATGAACAATATCAAAATTGATTTTTTTTAACCATCAAAAGTATTTTTCTTACATTGCAAAAGGATAAACAAGCTAWAAAATGACAACTTTTTGGGTTGTTGCTCGTTGCTCTTCGCGCAGCTTKTTYCCTAACCGCGAAAAGGCCATTGAAAWARGTGATACCATCGAAGCTAACACSGGAGGGAATTCTAAGTACTCAGAAATTCGAATCATATTTGCCTGAACACGTTACGTATCGATATCATTAGTTGAAGAGGTCATTGTATGAATTGAAGGCAATCTTTGAAACAATGTTATACCCCCGTAAAATTTGTTTTCCCAAGCTCCATTTCGGTCTGAGCTTTGAAGATGTAAAACCCTTTGGAACTACAGTACGTCTTTTCAACTAGGTGTATGAAGTTCCAGTCCCTATTTTGATTTTCCAAATTAAACTGCTACAAAATAACGCCCTATTTTAGAAACTTCTAAGAAGTAAAAAGTTCGACAAGCATAGGTTATTCATACAAATTTATACAAACTAGACAGCGAAAACTTTTGGAGGATCAAATTTAAAGCGAACAACARGATTAAGTCAATAAGGTCATAGGCAGTAAAAATCTATACAAAAATATTTGAGAGCATTTATCAAAATSTAAGAAAAATGTTTGAGAAAGTATTGGTCAATGTCACTTGATAAAGCTGGATGGGTAGTTTTACTCAAATTTTAATAATTTGGCATTTTTCGTGGGAGTACACTTTATCCGTTATATTTTATTGCCAATTTTGGTTARTTTTTTTTTCTTCTTCTAGGGGTATACATTATGTCATAACGTCACTCTTAATCCGCTAAAATCGCCCCAAATCTCTTTAAACTTTGAGTAGGTCTAGTAGTACAATGCTTTCTAAAATCGATAAAATTGATCTCACACAAAGTCGCTCAAAGTTTCACCGACTTGGATCCCGGAGTTTACAGTCCTTACGACCAGCTTGTTCAGATATATCGCTTAATGATGATCGCGAGTCGGTCTATCTCCTTCAATCAGCCTGTAGGCATGTTATAATATGTGTATTTATCTACAAGAGAAGTTTGTTTTAATTCTTTTTATTTAATATTAAACAGCTTGAGGCAATTCCTATTTCCATAACTTTATCTTTTGGATTGCAGGATATGGTCAATAGAAACTAAGAGCTTGGGCAATGAACTACGTGATCGAGTCTAAATAAGCTTTTTTTTATTTATTTATTTATATATTTTTTCGAGATCTTAGTTACCGATAAAATGATATCCTAGGTTTGCATAATTCTCGATGTACCTAATATAAAAAAATGTAGCTTCGGCCCAGCTGAGAGCGAAGAAGATTTTGAGTACACATAAATTTGAATTATGCCGCTTGTCTAATTTAACATGAACTTTATCAAAACTTTTCATAGATAAGTCAAGATAAGTTTATTCAATGTAGATATAGTGATTCGGATCTGAAGTACTTTTACACGAATGATATTATATTAATTATCTGCCTGCCAACTCTTCCTTTCGGTTGATTTAACAAACATTTACATTGAGAACCGTTAAAGTTTGGCCGATATTAAATTTAACAGTAATACCCGAAATTCGAAATCAGCCAGTCCGTGAAAATTAAATTATTAAATGAAATTAAATTAAATTAGTAAATTTGCCGAATTTAAGAGTTTTTGAAAATGCGAAGAACCATATGTTAAGGACTGGATCCTAGTTCAACGATACCGCTGCATTCCCTATAGTGGGGGCTCATAGTGAACAGTTGTAAGTCTTTTGGTAAAAAAAATATTACAATTTGTCGAAGCAAGTTCGAATATAACTAATTATCTACTCATAAAGTTTAATTTCATTTCGCGAAAGATAATCAAAATAAATAATGTGTATTGAGGCATTGCTTTTGGCGAGGTGATGGCTCTTGGATCTGATGTAATGAGTGCTGATTTATAGTATGTATATCTGTGTGATTTCGTTTTGACAGAAAAGTCAAATTAAACGCATATGCTCATTTATAGGTGATATTTACGATAGGGCGGCGCCATGATGTGTCCTAGAAATCTCGTTAAATTATCGTATCGGTTGCGAACTAAGTAAACACCTTCAAATCATGAGATTTGTGCAGCTTTTGAGATCCAATTTCAAAGGTTTTGTATAATAATTATGATACGACTTCAAGTTTCGTGCAGAAAAATATAATACTTCAAATTAAACTAGTTGAGTGTTATACTTTAATCGAGAAGTGTTTTGACATACACCTGTTTTCAAAAATGATTTGAAAAAAATATTATTTGTAAATAGTGAAATAGTGTATAGATCAAGAGCATAATCTTTAGATTTCCAGTCTGAGACTGAATTTTCTACTACTCTAAAAAACCGAATATTTATTAACGTTATAAATATACACTGAATTAGAGCAATATATACATTAAAATCATTAAATTTCTGACCCAATTGTTCGCAGAGTAAAATTGATAAAAGCAAATTAAAAGAAAAATATATTGAAGAGTTCCTAAACTATAAATCAATACTTTAGCACTCTGAGCTAATTAACTTGATAAAGTAAAATGATCATAAAAATAGACTCAATATAGTACTATAAACTAAAGCTCGTCGCTTGGTCTCCACTCCCCTGTTTTCGTAACCGCAACGCCATTTTTCAGTATAAAGAGTAGTCTTTCTTTGAGTTAATCCAGATATATATGACCAAATATGTCGATTTTCAGCCACAATTTATGATATAGACTTATTTTAATATTTCATTACAGAGATAAGAATTTGTGGTCTAAATTAAGCCGTAGGGCTGTAGTACTTTGTCATCTCTATGTCAATATATAATGACAAGCAGGTTTCCTTGTAGACCTAGTATGTTGAGCACGCTCGCACACCGCTCATTTGCATCCCGACAAACCGTCTAGGTTAGATTAAAGGAAGCAATTCGTCTAAGTTTCTCTGTTTTGTCGCTATCTGTTTGATTATCAGCATAAGGTATCCGCCTTTTTATACACAGACAGCCTTCTTGGATAATTAAGGATATAAGTTTAGGTGCAATAATAATGAAATAGAATGCTGAGTGATGATTGGAGTAAAAAATATGACATCGCTGATTATATAGACTACGACAGGCACTAAATGTATGTAACACTTTGCACTATTTACTACCAAATAGCAATTGAATTAGAGTTAAGACACTAAAATAGTGAAAATAGAGTTTAAATAGTTTAATAACGATAGCAATGATGGTGGTAGTGATGATGATGATAATGATGATGATGATGATGACGATGATGATGACGATGATGATGATGATGATGATGATGATAATGATGATGACGATGATGATGATGATGATGATGATGATAATGATGATGATGATGATGATGATGATGACGATGATTCAGACCTTTAAAATATCAACTAGAGTTCACCATTAGTTACAACATCAATGCAAAATGACGCCGAGTGGGTGGATGATCTACGGAAGATGCATCAAGATGTGTTAATGAATAGAATCCCTGATGACAGAGTGTCGTCTGTTTGCCACCAGTAAAGATGCTCAAATATAATCGCTCTTTGCTAAATTGTTCGAAATCCAATCTGAAGCCACGTTGATTAAAACACAGTCAGCGAACAAACAAGTTTATATTTTGACACTTTTTGCCATTGAGCTGTATTTCTCGCAAGAAAACGCAAAGTAATACAGGAATTGTTCAATTGTTGAATGAAAAAACAGGAAGGGAAATTAGAAAAACATACCCCAATGACATTGGCAGTTGCAAATGATCACTCCAAAATAAAGTGACTTTTTGCCTAATAGACTTAAGGTGCCTCAGGTTTGTTTAGCTTTCGATTCGTTGGAAGGAACTGTCACTTCGTCGTTGTTAAGACCGAAAGTGGAGGCAATGAATAATAAGAGGTTTTGAGATAATGACCAGCCGCTCTCCAAGTTGTATTTTGCGTGTAGAGGCTTGTAAGGGACTTTAATAGACACTAGTCTGTTTGTGGTGTATAGTTAAAGTTGCGGTTTAGTGATCAAAGATCACCTCAGATGACTTTCAGATGAGAGAAGCCAAACTTGTGGTGGCATTATCTRTTTGCTTTCGTTGCAGGTACATTGACAACGAAGGAACAGCGAAACGTCAATAACTAACGAGAGTGTGTTCTCGTCTGGTGAACGCAAAAGTCGCCATGAATTTAATTCRAAGCGACAACCAAAACAACGGCGGCGATTCGACAAGAATAATAATCAACGTCGGTGGATTTCGCCATGAAACCAACATAGCAACACTGCAAAATATTCCAGACACTCGCTTAGCATGGATCGTCGAGAATTCATCCAATTCAGACGTGACAGGACCGAGAGAGTATTTCTTCGATCGACACCCAACGGCCTTTGCACACGTTCTGAATTTCTACCGTACAGGAAAGCTGCACTGTCCAGCAGAAATGTGCGGACCAATGTATGAAGAAGAATTGAAATTCTGGGGAGTTGATGAAAAGCAAATGGAGCCTTGCTGTTGGGGCAAGTACACGCAGCATAGAGAAGCCGAAGAAAACCTTAAAGCGTTCGTTGGACCTGGATTTGAGGACCTGAGGACCTCAGATACGTTTAGTTCAGGATTAGGATCTAATGAAAGTTTAGGAGAAGGGRGTACAAAATGGCAGAGGTGGCAGCCAAAAATGTGGGCGATACTAGATGAGCCACATTCATCGCGACTAGCTAAGGTAATTAAATATCGAACTGTTGTTTTGTCTCATTTGCTATGGGTCTTTAACTTTCCTTGTCGTAGCACAGAATGGCATGCCAGTGTCCGCTTTTGGGTTGGGTTTGTTTTGGTTATAGTACCACTGTTTCCAACGCTGCATACGCATTTCTCTTATACCAGTAAAAAATAGGTACATTGACTTGAATGGGCTATATAATTGACTAAATAACAAAGCGGAAACTATATCATGGAGATTTTTTCCTTATACGACATACAGTTATTATATAAGTAAAGTTCGGACGTTACTTTGGTTGGTTAGGAATTCAAATAAACGATTCCAACGACGGCTAAACCTGCAAAATGTAAACAATTTCCCTCTCTACTGTATAATTTCTTKAATTCTATCAAATTTGATTCATTAAAACCTTGACGCAGTCGAAGTAGTTTAGGTTAATCCCTTCCTATCCCTACATTTTTTTTATTAACTTCATTAACTTAATTTACGTCAGTGATTTTGTCAAGTTAATTAAGGGGCGGTTGAACCGGGGGGGCYGCAGCCCCCCAGTATTTTGGAAATATTGATTTTGTTTCATGATGAAAGCTCGTCGTATTTTCCTATAATGTAATTCATTAACAGTTATATTTACTGCAAAATGAAAGCTTGATGAATAAAAAAGGATTTCTTGATCACAATAATAATCAATCTTCTTAGCCCGCCAGGGCCAAAAACGCTCCGCCGCCCCTGAATTGTATACCAATTCGCCACGCCTGATAGATATATCATATTCGCGCTTGCTAATGCTTGGTTTTCACTTGAAACGCAAACAGAAGCGCAAACGTAAAGGCTATATTCGTATTAAAACCGTCCAGCACAGTTATACAGCAATACCAGAATGATTTCTTTTTTCTTGCGTCAATGTCTTTGTACTTGCGCTTGATTTTACTATTGAAAACGAAACACAGCGCAAATGAAACTTCTTTTGCTTCCTACTGCGCTGTCTTTTCGTCACAAGTGAAAACGAGGATAAACGCATATTTCCTATAGCTAGAGATTCACGAATAGACTCGCTAGATTCAACTCAAAACTGAAAACAAAGAATTGTTGGGATTGTTAGAGTATAATACTCACTTTAAAAGAAAGACAAATAATCGACCACCTACTAGCTAATAATTTACTAACTATATATTTCAAGGAACAATTGTATTGATCCTAACGAAGTATGCACGGCGGACTCAAAATCGCTCCATATTGAAAATGATGTTAAAATTCCCATATTTCCTTTTTGTCGTGCAATGTCATTCGCCATTTTTCTCGAACAACCGTTTCTTATAAGTGAAAAAGCAACAACAGATTATCAAAAATTGGCCTCCATTTTCATTTAAAAGATACGAAAACGAAACAAATAAGACAGTTGGCAATGAAAAACATAAAGCATGACATAATATCTTGCTATTCTCTTGTGTGAAAAACTGAATAAATCTGGATCGTGGTGGAAGCATCTGCCACTGGTTTGGCTGACAAGAATGCCACTACTTAACAAACCAATAGAAATGAGGAATACTCCAGAAGAAATAACGTCAAAGTGATTCGCTTTTTCCTTTCAAGACAAGATGTATAAATAAATAAATAATGACAAATCTGTACATTACGTGATTAGAGAGAGGGCTAATTACAAGTTTTCAAGAGTTCCTTTACCATATTGTTCTAAACATCAACTTGACTGTCGTTTTTAATCATTTTACGCACAAAGCTGTCTGTCATGAAGATAAGTTAGATGTTCAAAGTGATATATGAAGACTTCTACTTGTTATTTTTTGACTTTTCTGTTAAACTGTGGCGTGGGCTGCAGAATTACTTATAAATGCCAAGTTTAGTAATAAAAAAAGGTCTTTAAAGTAAGTTTTGATAATAAGGTATTATAAGTAATTTTCCTTTCAACTTCGTGATTGAGTTGCTCGCTCATCATATGAATTAATTACAGCTCTTGAAAAATCAGACAAAAAACTGCATAAACATGAAATATTTTGTAGATCTGAAACTCKTATTAGTGAGTTTAGTGCTGTTACTATTATTTTGTTCTCATCGAGAATATGATGGTAAGACGACCGAAATGGCGTTGAAACGTTGTAGGAACAAAAATATCAGTGAGTCAAACAGCTCGTAAGAGAACAAAATAGAAGAAATATTTTTTTGCAAGCATATAGAGTGAATTGTTGTAACGCTGATCAGTATATATTTTTCAAATAACGAAGGATAGGAGTTTAAGTATGGTGATTGAAACAGTCTTCTCCCCACCCCCTCTCCCCTAATAATCATCACGACCGTTTATTTCACCACCCACAATAATTTCCGAAAACACTTTTCGCCTCATTATTGTTGCGTTTGAATTACCGTTTTTGTGCTGACTACAAAGAGTGCTGTGACAATGTAATTCTATACATATTGTCAAGCTAAATTTTCTGGGGTTTTAATGACGTGTATTTATACAACTACTCATCGCTGGAAATTCCGAATGGACATGCGCGAGCAGTGACAGGAGAAATTATAGGCGAAACCGTTGAATTTTGAAGGTTTCTAAATAAAAGAAAATGTATCGGGATAAAGTTTATCTCACAAATTATATAATAGCAAATTCTGCACTGTTTGTATTAAGTTGAATGACAAACTTAAAACCTTAAAAACTCCAAATTTTGCTCCGGTTGTTATGTGGGTTGCAAGCAGTCAGACGCCATATTCCAGCACATTGTTTTATTAATGAGGGCACAGGAAACCCATAATTAAGTACATATAATATAACACCGGTTTTATAAGCAAAATTTACTAAGCTTTCAAGCGGTCATTTTGACTGAGAGATTTCGAGAACCACAAAGTGACTCACCTTTATCTCGGCATAGGTGATCCAATAGTCCTACCTTGTGTCATCGTGTTTGAAGGACCACGTGAGACTTTGGTCGACATTTTTACCAAGTTCAAGTGTTTTTAGTGGCTAAAATCTCATTTCGGTCGTGCTTTCTTGATATTTTGAGTCATCTTGAACTTAAAGTTGTCGAGAAAGACGCTTCTGGAGCTTTAAAAAGGAAATATTCCTTGCTTGCTATCGTTTTTTATTCGCAAACCGCCATGTTGTTGTCTTTTTGTCACAGGCGTTCCTTCCTGCTTTACTTTTTGACTGAAAATGACTGGTACCGAGTCTGAGAGCGCGGGAAATATGGAAAACTACAGCGAAACTTTGTTTATCAGTTTTTTCCCTTTTTAAAATACGTTGAATATTCTGAAAACATCAGCATCAAAGAGCAAGTAAGTCAAATTAGAGAAATTCAAAAGCACAATAGCATGAAAATATTCGTTTTTAAGGCACCAGAATTCACGGGTTTTCTTTTTAGAATTAATTTCAAATACATGACTAAAAATTCTCTTATGAAAGAGGTCCTCTCTTTCCTCTTTTAAACCACCATATTGCGCAATACGACGTTGCATGTGATGCTTGAACCAATCACGATTGAGATAAAACAATGATTGACATGGATTTTGTATAATAAACTCCGCCTACTTTGATTCGGAATTTCTAGCGATGATTTGGTCCAAAACCATTGGCGCCAACTGTTTCCGCCTAAATTCCATATATGGTAGTATAACGTAATCAGTGTTTTGTTGTTTTATCTTTAAGGTTGTGTCCTACATGTCATGCATGTTTATTACCGTTTCCATAGCAACCTTTTGTGCCACCACAATGCCCATTTTCAAGCCACAATTTAAGAAAAACAAGGTCATGGGAGAAAGGCAAGTGTTCTCGGTCATCGAGATGATCTGTAGCATCTTCTTCACCATTGAATTCTTGTTACGTTTTGCTTTCTGTGCGTCCAAGATACGTTTCATCCGTGGGATTATGAACTGGATCGATTTTGTGTCGGCTGTTCCTTTTTACCTCAGTYTGATGAACGACGATCCCATTGTGCGCATGCTCGTGGTAGTTCGTATTCTACGTCTTTTTCGCTTCATTAAGCTGTCATATGGGCTTCAGATTATGGTGCAGACTCTAAAAGCCAGCTCACACGAGCTGATACTTCTACTGCTAATGCTCCTTATTCCAGTTGTAATGTTCTCTAGTATTGTGTATTACATTGAATTTCTCATACTGGAAGGAAAATCAGACTTCTCGTCAGTACCAGCCTCGTTCTGGTGGTGCCTCATTACCATGACAACTGTCGGTTATGGCGACATGACGCCCGAAACGTGGCCTGGGAAGGTCATTGGCGGTGCATGCGCMATTTGCGGAGTGTTAATCGTCGCTCTACCCATTTCTGTCATCGGTAGTAATTTTAATCTCTAYTATTCCCATGCTCAAGCCAGGCTTAAGCTCCCAACGAAACAAAGGCGCCTAGTTCTAGGCGCTGTGCCGGGTCTTTTGTCTAAGCAACAAGAGCTAAGCTCACGGCGTAAGAAGAAAACTAAGCTCAGTGGAATGGACTATGAATTGTGCACAAGCGACGAATTGTCGTCTTCGTTGAACAGTTTACAGTTGCAGCAGCGTAGAACAAGGTCGGGCGTTAGGAGTGACCAGATACAACTAACTGAGGCACACGAGGAAGCCATTAAAGCGGCACTTGGAGGTTCGGATCAGAAAAGAGATACACCGAGYTACACAGGAAGTCAAGAGGACTTGYCAASTCATGAAGAGAAARTACTTTTGCTRCAAAAGAAAGGGAGATCTTCTCGAGAGCGTTTTAATGACGATCGCGAYACGGGTTCTCYACCACTGAACGTCACTTTAAACCCCACTATCAGACATAGYGGGGGTAGTCATGGCAATATGCCGTCAACAGACACTACMARCAAACGAGATTTAGACGACAATGGGACTTTTTTGAACGTTGCTAATGGACTCAAAGACAAACGAAAACTCTCATTATCTGATTCCAGATTATGCATGCATCATAGCCTTGACTCGCAGTCTTTGYTAGAGCCGAAAAATATGAACTTAATGTCTAATGGGCACTGTAAYTCCAAAGAGACTAGTAAGGATCTTATAACGTCACGAGGGAGGACGTCCACAATRTCGTCTTTACCAGACTACAACAAAAATCGAAGAAAAGGCCTTAGCGTTTCGACATCGTCKGCGAAAGGAGATCCAGACTTTATGGAAACGAAAATTTAACAGAAAATAACRAGTTCGCATTAAATTGGTAATTGTGTTAGGCATTTGGCTGGTTTCGACTGTGCATTGCAAAAATCTCGTTGGGACATTTTACGTCAAAAGTCACATGATGCTTYAAATGGCACTGCGCATGTGCTGCAAATTACAAAGCCAAATTTTATCTCATGGATGCGTTAAAATTATATTTTTGTCGAGATATCTTAATTTGAGACATAAGGTGAAATATACCTGATGTGAATGGCATGGGATTGTCACTGGTATCCTGTGGTCATAGCAACAAGACATTGTTTGACAGCATGCTTACAATAGAACCCAGTATTTTTACAAACAAGCTGAGCTCCACAAGAAAGAAAAGAGTGAAATGGTGTACATAACATGGCCGCTAGATTAMAAGTCTAGTTTACAATACTATCAATAATAAATTGGGGTTATTGCGCGCAACTGTTTGATCTCGTGCACCTTAACTTGCAGGGGTCATTCTCAAGTATGAGACAAAAACTCACTCAAACCTGTCTGMAAAATCGATCACCGTGAATTTGCAAACAGCTCACACGACCGATAAAAATCACCGCAAAAATCGCCTCCCGCGTTGCGCGACAATGTYKTCAGTGTAAACAGGCCTTAAAAAGTTCGCTGATAAAAACAATGGACAAGATGACATAGATCGAGTAATCATTATCGATTGCTCTCTAGAAACAACAAATTATCGATAGTGTCCGTCTAGTCAATGACTAATTCAATTGGTRAGTTGGGGTCTGGTACCTAATGGCTTGATTTTGCCCGGGATCTTGYTCCAGTGTTATAGATCTCCATTCTTGGAGATAATCCCTATATGAAAATATTCGTGATGGATAAATTAAAAGACAATGATGCCGCACCAAATAWARTAAAGTRGARGATTAAGATCCTGGTTGAAAATGGAGCAATTATTGGTACCGCCAGGARCCCAATGGGCTCCTGGAACCGTGTAACTTTTGTCTATTAAAGATAAAATCACGTGATAGTCACGTGACTTGAATTATTTTACACCGATAAATAAATTGTATAGTTTATAGAATAGGGAAATGAAGTCAATTAAACAAATGAATTGAGCTCTACTATGTTTTATTAACATGCGCAACGTATAAATKTGTTAACATAGAATCCTTCACGGGYTMCCTGTGCCATCTTGAAAGGTGTCCATGCCTTTGCGTCGAAACGAGACGACCATTGAGTGTGCAATGATAGATACCTGTCAATAGTTGTCTGTAGGTTTCGTGAGCGCTAATAAACCTCTGAAGCTTTTACGTCATRTACCGTAAACSCAATGCATTGTAGGATATATGTTTGGGACAAAASATGGCGGATTTCTTTTGTTTTCTMAGAAAATGATCCCACAACGCATTGCATATCAAGTAGGTGACGTAAAAGCTTCAGAAGTCTATAGATACGACCCGTTGCTGTGAGAGACAAATTAACTAACGAATCGTCACCTCCGTCTGAGCTTTTTGATCAAGAAATGTCGCTGGAGTAGCAGAGGCCGAACGCGAACGTGTCCCTGTCAATGGAAACAAAAGTCAAAACAAAATGGTGTAAAACTCAAACAAATCTCAAAAAAAATGAGTCATGTTTCCATGGTTTTACTAGTGCAAAATGTAGTTTTTGAGTACCTCATTCAGTCAGTCACCGTTCTAGACAATCACTACTTTTAGATTAAGTGGATTTTCTAGAAACAAAGTTGGTCTGCCTGTGCTAACAGCTTGAGGAAAACAATAAATTGACTAGAAAATATTGCTGATGAAGTGAATGGACAGAAGCTCATTAAAACTATTCTAGACTATATATATTCTCTCTGATCCGTTATAGCAAAGCTTTTTTGAAGGCGATAGTCAGTTCGCTTGTGTCGGCAATAATCGCTACTGCCTGCCTCGCGGCCATGGCGACATTRAAACGATGATTGTCGTACTACAAAAATCGCCATTGCCAACCAACATTAATTACCGGTTTGGGTGCTTAGAAAATTAAGCTGTTTTTGACAACTYTGATAAACCGCTTACCAAAGCGCTTGAAACACTTTTAAAACGCTTACAAAAGAACAGGCATAAGTACATTAGCTGATTGAGTCGTGTAGAGGTTTTTTTCATTACATTAAGTTAAGACTATATATTTTSGATCTGGCGCATTTAAGAAAACGTATGGAAAAATAAATTAAACCAGCAAATGACGAAAAAAAATAGACTCGGGGAGGAAGGAAAGTTATTATTATTATAATTTGAAGTTAAAAATGACATTGTTTAATTCAAACACACCGGGGCACACACTGATATGTTTATTCATTGTTCGTTTAGCCTCTTTTCCAGACATTATCATCATGCAGGATCAGTTATTGSTCAAGGCGCGTGGCCCACGACCCTGAGAACGTCTGCCAAGGAGGTCACTGTTAGYTTTCATCACCATTACAGTGCAACCACATACCTTTAAATATAAACTGATAGACTACCTTAAATAAATCACTACCAATGAATGACAATGTCTTTTTATGAGAGCGACTTCACGATGTTTGCACTGATGAWGCACGCAATACAATACACTATATCAACTAAAAATTGCGCAAGAATATGCACGCTTTTAAGAAAAGACTACTCCATATATAAATTGGTTTTGTCGACTTAGTTTTACTTCCAAGTGATTTCATCAAGGTTTTCCGTTACGAGTGGTTTCCAAGTAAGTATGAAATGGAAACGTTTCAGGGTTTATTTTGTTAAGTCTTTAAAACGCACATGTTCGCGCCCATGCGCTTATTAGCATGTCCTTGATATTATTGTCATATAAAAAAAATCGTGAAATTATTCTATAGATTCAATGAAGAAGTCACTGCTTTATTTTCAAAGTATATTTTGTAAAGTCTTCAAAACGCGCATGTTCACGCCCATGAGCTCATTAGCTTGTCCTTGAGATTATTGTCATAAAAAAAATTCGTGAGATTATTTTATAGATGAATTGAAGAAGTCACTGCTTTATTTTGTTAATATTCAAGAGATCACACTTAAGGATCTTCTCGGATGCTTGATGTCGAGTTTGCGTTTTTTTGTTTGTTTAATGTTGTGTATCGAGTCTTTAATGGCTAATTTCAGCTGTCCTTGTTTGCGTTCAAAATCAGCATTTTCAATTGATGTGATATTTTCCTTTTGAAAATGAATGCATGAAAGGAATATATTCTAATGCACTATAAAAGGGGCTCACGAACTTCACACCCTCATCGCAATTTGTGTTTTTATTCGGTTCTTTGAAACTAAGACTCATTAATTTGTGAAGCCCCGCGAAAAAAAACATGACACTTAATTGTTTAWTATTTGSAAAACATGGAAGCTTTTGAGATTTTCTCATCGCCCRATCAATTTATGTCTTCAATTCAGCTYGAAATATTATGAAAGTTCATAMTGTCATCCGTTATTATAACGATCCAAAATGGCGCCTATCTTCTACACTGCGATTTTATCAAATTCTGAAGGGAATTCCGTCATATTTCACTTAACCTGAGCGAAAGCGTCATTTGTTTACCAAAAAGTTGGGATTGGACTTTCAATTCAGGAAGTCTAGTACAAAAAAAACAACTTGGAAAGGAAGATTATGTACTTCAACTGATTAAAGTTCTCGTGCGAATAAAAATACAAAAAAAATTAAACAAACACGCGTTAGGCCTATCTTTYATGAGATTTCCTTTTTCCATATGGCTATTATATTTGAAGGAAAAAGCGAGTTTCTTCATACAAACAATTTTAATAAATAAAGGCTTAAAATGATAATTTCGCCACGAGGAATTTTGAATAATTAGCCGTTAATGAAAATAGATGGTACTTTCCTCCTATTGCGTTTGTTGTAAATCATACTACAATGTAAGTCAGCAGGGAAGAGGAACTGATGAATTTGTTTTTATTGAAGAAACTCCTATTCAGCAAAACAAGCCTATTTTATTTAGCTCGCCGTGTCACGTGATAAATTCACGCTCTGCATCACAAATAGTCAAATAAAGYCGCGCATTAGAAYTTCTTCTTSTGAACCGACGACACCGCTCCACTGATGTCGAGCCATAAGAAAATCCTCTTCCCCGTCGATGGAAGCTCACACAGCGAACGAGCMTTTGAATGTAAGTTATTCATTAATCTACTTGATRAAAAGATATTTTCTATTTCTTTGAAAGGCTGTCTGAACGCATCGATTTTGAATATACATACATTACATGAACTAGACAAAGTTGGAATCAKTTAGCGAGATTTCAGCTTGTTCGCATGATGTTAAGAGAGGACAATTAAGTGCCAGAGGTTTTTGTTGAATTAGGAATCTGTTGTGCCCAAAGAAAAAACGATGAGCGATGATGAGCTGCGGGTAGCAGTACTGATATTGTTAGAGTTAAAAGCACAACCTCAATAAAGGTTAAAACACTACAATTTCTAAGCACATTTTGTCAGATTTGCGGCACATTAACACTGTACAGAATACAAACACGGTGCTTCTAATTTTGCACAAAAAGCAATTTCCCCAAATAGTGAAAACGGTCTGCTTAATTCGATAATTTATTTATGATAATGAACATCTAATGATGGATGCTTATTTAATGGTAAGTAAACGAGAACTCGGCTGTTGAAATAGAGATTTTGCTCGAATAAGATGGACGACGTCATGTCGGCCATATTGCAAGTCATTTGCGGTCGAAGGAAATTTCACAGTGGTTTTTTTGACGCCACAAARCATGGAGAAAAATGCTTCAAATTTATTAGATAGTGTATGTAAATAAGCAATGATAAAATGCCCATGTTTTAGAAATATAAAAAGRGGTAAAAMGAGGGTTTTTAAGCTTTGTTTGGTTTTGTAAATATAGCCGGGCTTTATAAAGGAGACAACTTCAAATGTATATACGAATCTCATCTTTACATCCAGAAGTTGCTTTCTGTCATATAACGTGCAAAATACTAATCAAATACATTAATAATGTATGGGAATAGATAYAACGTGTGTCCATGTGGAGAAAAATAAGAAATAAAAAAATGGTTATGAGCTTATAATGAAAGAAAGCGAAAGATTCTTAAAACAGACACGGGAAATTATGTAAAGAGAGATAACGCGGCATCAATGAGACAAAGCGCTCAAGTGTAAGCCAGCTAAAGCTTCGAACCTTTAATTGACACTCAATATGGAACGATCAAAATTGATCGTCATCTTAGTTAATTTACATGAAATGAAAATAAATGAAAAGCGAAAAGGGAAACAAGAGAAACTACAGATCACCTCGACATCCGGGTATGTTTGATTTCTCGGCGCGCGCGCGCGTCTTCCCGCCAAATGTTAACAAGAAGATTTGCTTGTCTTTTTCAATTTCCATTTAGAAATCAGAGAGCTTGAGGTTTGACATTAAGAACCAATTCTAGCCATGAAACTTATTTTTACAGTAAGATAAATTAAGCAGCAATATTAATGGCTTTTACCTCTATGTTGATTAAAATAGCCACAAATAAAGGCTTGTATTGGACCCAAGGCAAAACGGCGATAATAAAGTATCAAAAATAAACTGAGTTTATAGGCAATTTATAGACATGAATCCAACCAAAAGATAAATCCGCGAGCTATATTTTAATGTCCTATTAATCGTTGATAATCAAAACTACCTCAAAATGGCGKCTGGAAGAACTCAAGGCAAAAAGCGGCAAATACACCGCAATATAAAGTATCAACAATACAACTATTTTGAACATTTGGCGGTCTTTTTCCAACACATAAACAAAAAGAGGTTCACGATAAAATCTAAAATATCCTTTTCACTTTCGCTTAACATTTGTAAGTTATATGACATGAACTGTTAAAAGTCTTTGGCGTACTTCTAAGTATTTGTTTACAAAGACTATGACAGTAAACAAAGACTATGTTAATAGAGAGTAGTTTACTTAAAACTAGCACATAAAGAGTCGGCATAATGGCCGGAGGTGGCAGAGTTTTAATTTAAAAGTTAGCAGCCAAAACCTGATCGACTGCTGTCTTTCGACCAACGCAGAAGTCTATACACTTAATGAGATATCATTTAATAAAAAAGAAACTTGATAATACTGTAATAACAGCAACTACACAGGACATTTTCTTTGAAACTTTATCCAAAACCATGGAGAGCGAAAAAGTCGGTGATCACTGATCGGCGATCATATGATATGAGATGGATAAAAATACAACATAAATCGGCCCCAATCTCGTATATCCATCAGGTCTTAAAATCCGAGCTGACATATATTTAAGGTCTATTCAATTAAGCATTATACCTTTCTATATAAAAGCATTGAAAATAGCACGTATATTGGATAATATTTCTTTGAAATTTCACGCGTAGCAAATATAGCCGGCTATTTWAAAATGCGCCGCAACACAGTCGTTGGTCATCAGTTTCTRAAMTGCACGTACAGTGACATGCTGTTTAATTTTGTAAACTACAATGACATGAGTGTTTCCTTTTAAAGTCTTTAATGTAAAAGCTCACTATGTTAGTATAAAACCGAGATGTGTTTTTTTAAAAGGGTGCTTCAGAATCATAATAGGTGGAAAAGAAGTTTTCTCAAGTAATGGAAGATTAAGTAACAGTTTATTAGACACCTTTGCTCGATTACAATACATTGCGCATGTTTCGATTTATTCCCCTGAAACAACATGGCCGCCATATATGTTTAATCAACTGATTCAAAGATGGATCAACTCCAAAAGCAATTGCTATTATCATGATATTATCAAAAGGTAATTCAGACAAAACATGGCATTACTGATTAACAGTACTCAAAAGAAACTTCTATAGTAGATGTTGCGGCGACGACGGGGAACAAAGATTTGAAATCGATTATCGTAGAATAGACATCATTACCAATACTATTTCCCATACTTTTTTACGGTGTTAAACTTATCTTCTTTACACAATCATTACCAATACGCCCGCCATCTTGAATTCTTTGTTCTCGCTATCAATTCAGTAAGGAATTATTGGATGCCCAGAACATTGGGCAAGATATTTGCAGACTTAACGGTGTTGAGATTTCTATTAGATAATTTAATTCAGCATGAGAAAATGTGAATAAAAACTAAAAAATATATCACATTTATGGAGTGTTTGAAGAAAATGGAAGAAATTTCCAGACTTAACAACGGCATTGCGATTTCTATGAGATTCAATCTAGCATGAAAAAGTATGAAAAAAAAACCTAAAAATCATTGCAAATTTAGGTGTTTTGAAACAATGATTTATCTATGTTCTCGTTAACAATTTTAGTAAGAAATTGTGAGATGCCCAGGCATTGAAGAACTTTGCAGACTTGACGGCGTTGAGATTTCTATGAGATTCAATTCAGCATGAGAAACTATATGAATAAAAACTAAAAAAACATTGCTCATTTATGGAGTGATTGAAGAAAATTGAAGAAATATGCAGACTTAACGGCATTGAGATTTCTCATGAGATTCAATTTAGCATGAGAAAGTGAAAAAAAAGCCTAAAAAACATTGCACATTTAGGTGTTTTGAAAAAAACAAAACACCTAAACAAAGGCAATGATTTACTTAGAACTAGACGACTGTATTGGTAATCAGGTTTATTGGAGTCTCAATTTGATATGATTATATTCTAACGGATGTGAGACCATCGATTCTAGCTTATAATCTTTGACGCATCAATCTCTAGCATCTCCTTAACAGATTAATAGTCTGAAAGAAGGGTGTTACCACCTTGAATACATCTTCGATTATATCTCGCAGGGTTTTTGGCAAATTTTCGCAATGTTGAGGATGAGATGATTTTTCTCCATGTTCATCAGTATGTGGAAAACGTCAACCAACGGACAGATCGCAGCGAAGATGGTACGTACTTTGGATATTTTTTGAAAATGTTTAGTTTTAATGAGAATCACTCACTCCAGTTATTTAATCGAGATGCCAATTGGATATTTAGTCTGCCAGCTTAGTTTTAATGAGGATCACTCCCTCAGTTATTTAATCGAGATGCCAATTGGATATTTAGTCTGCCAGTCAGCTAAGGCACTCGGCTAATCATCCAATCACACAATCAATCAACCAATCAACCAATCAACCAACATAATCAATCAAATGTAAAGATACGAATGTGAGGACCGCATGTGACTATGATAAACATGATATAGAAATAATATAAATTAATTAGAAAGAGGTTATTCCGGAAGAAAAACCCTTGGAAATAAATTCGTAAAAATAAATTACCGTCCTTGTTGGGATTCGAACCCATGCCACGACCCTCGGATTTGTACTACCGATGGTCTACCAGCTGAGCTGCTGCAAGGTCGCAGACTGGGAGCAGGTCGGGGTGAAGTAGATGTTAGTTTGCGTTAAAATATATATTTCCAAGCGTCTTTCTCCCGAAATAACCACCTTCTTATTAAGCACTATTCCTTTATTTCTATAATCAACCAAATGATCAAGTRATCGATAAATCAATCATTATTCATTTCAGAGGAGTCTGAATGCAGTCAGGTCGATTTAATTGAAATACAACAAGCAGCAGAGAAAAAGTCCTCCCCTATAATGGACAAATTCACTAAGAAGTGTATTGATTACAAGGTATGTCTCCACTTTGTGAAGCCAATAATCAAACTTGACAATTGAGCGACCTTGAGTAGTTTCCTTCACGGTTACCTGCGCCATCTTGAAAGGTAGTCGTGCCTTTACATCGAAACGCGACAACCATTGAGCGTGCAATGATAGATACCTGTGAATAATTATCTGTAGGTATGAAAGTAGGTTTGTATCATTGCACGCTCAACGGTCGTCTCGCTTTGATGCAAAGGCACCGCTACCTTTCAAAATGGCGCAGGGAAACGTGAAGAAGACTATTATATAACCATGTTATATCACGTACAACAGGTAACCTTCAGGACTATAGTCGCGTTTGGACARCCAGGGAAAACGATCTGCAAGACCGCAGTTGAAGAGAATGTGACGTGTATTGTAATGGGAAATAGAGGTCTTGGTGTGTTTAGGCGATCCGTCTTAGGGTCCGTTAGTGATGCTGTCCTACATAAGTCAAACATCCCAGTYCTACTTGTACCCCCGACTTAACTGAATCTGAAACGCGTGATTACGCAATCCTTCGTGAGTAACACAACTATGTCACGTGCGATTTAAAAATGTCACGTGATGTGTTTTGACAAGCTGATTGGTTTTGAGAGAAGGTGGTTGTCACGGTAAATCGATTATCTTGGATCACGCATGTGCAGTGACACTGTTGGTTAAAGAGACCGCTGGCTTGAAAAATCGTTACTTTTGCTAAAAATTTATTGTTTTGAGTAAGTCCACTACGGGAGATTTTGTYTCCAGTCTGGCCTCTGTGAGAAATTAACAGCTATTGCCAATAAATGAACAGACTGATAATTTTTGTATAATTTCCTAATATCTTGATTGTAAGCTGGCRGTCCAGGTACGCGAAATGCCACTTGTATATGTAGACCGGGTTTCCTGTGTTGCCGGAACCAGAGGAATAATCCAGTTTCCAATTCTCCAATGCTCTGTGTTAGCCTCATTTGTGCGCGAAAAATTACTAAATTGTGAAAATAAAAATGTGAAATTGAAAATCAATTCTATTGTCTTTCTTTTCAAATTCCATGCGTTTTCTCGGACCATCAATAAAACAAAAGAATATGTTACTTGGTTTTGAGGCTAACACAGACTGACAGAGCAAACCAGAACTCGAAATCGGAGTTTTGTGGGAGGGTTCATCGGCAATAATATAGCGCACAAGGGAATTAGCGCGTCAATTGGAGTCGAGTGTGTTTGAGAAGCAAATTGTACCTTTTAGGGACCAAGAGCTTAATAGAAAATCTTACTACAATTGACGACATTAAAATTGTTACAATTGAATAAAAATTTAAGTTAAATACACATATTTTGCAAAGCGCAATCTAATATCTTTCACGAAAATGTACATGGCACACTCCTATTTCTGTAAGATAATAAGCAGGGATTTAGAATATTTAAATCTCTACTGTGTTTCATTGTGACTTAATGCGCTACACAGATTCGTTTATTAATGATAACAGTTAATGATATTAAAGTTCATAAAAGACGCCGATTTTTTCTCAGTTTGAAACAATGTTATTTTTATTAGCGGCGGCCATTTTGATGAAAGGTTTCTTGTGGTTTCTTGTTATAAAGATGAAAACTCACATAAAATAAAGCTGTAGCAAAACCAATTACCTTTGACTTTTGAACTTTTTGTGTCATCTGAACTGTGCCAAGAATGGATCGAAGTATGAAAAAAAAAATTCTGAACCAAACTGCTCGTTTTCCCGCCAAAACTCATTTAGCGCACGCGCGCGCGTATAGGCGTAAATTCTCCATGACATTATAATCTTCCAAACGTGCGTTATGAAATGAGCCCCCATCCGCTTGCAGTGTTTACATGGCTATTGTAGGTTATATCACTGCGGACAGAAATGCAAACAGTCTAACAATGTTTCCGTTTTATCGCTCTTTGCGATAAATTGGTTCTGACCGAGACTGTCTAGTGTACTATTTCCATTTTGCTGTGTTTTAGGCAAATTGACTAATTTCATAAAATATTCGTTTCATTTTTGCGATTTTTGTCATTTCTATTTTTGTCCAGTCGTTATTATTTCCTAGCTATTTCTTTTTTTTCTATTTTTTGTTGTCCCACTTTCAATGTTTCTTCAAAAAAAAAATGAATGAAAATAGATTGAGAGAGACAGCCGGAAACTTATAACGCAAAAAGCGATCGATAAGCAGCTTATATTTTCATGTGATTTATTCGCGTTCTTCAACGATATAGTCAAGCCTACAAAATCATTTGGTAACAAAAGCATTTTATCGCAACTTTACTCTACTACAATGGAAATTAAAAATACAAAGTCATTTATATAATTTTCTATTTTATTTCCCATATATTTTTGTTTATATTTGAACAACCAATGAGATAATAATGTAACGCATTCGAATCGACTCGTTAATGCAGATTTCGATGTGAAAGTCATAAATAATTCATGAAAACCGGGCGTCGRGTGACAAAGGAGTGAAAATAAGCGTAACAGATCGAACGGCCAGYTTGCAGGCGCTACAAACCTGAATTACTACAAAACCTGCTCCAAAAAGAACTGTTTYAAASCTCAGACTTTGYGAGTTCTTTCGTAAACGWYTTCCAAGATCTCAAGATGCCACGAACCATTCTCATTGCAGTGAACGCAAGCGAACACAGCGAACGTGCTTTGAACTGTAAGTATTCACGCATACGGAAAAGTCACCTTTATACATCATATCCACTGTTGAAAGCCTTTACATATCTAAGCTTTCAGCACAACTCTCAAGTAAGACTAGTGGATATACTGAGATAAACATGCAAGTAAATTAAAAGAATATATTTTCGGACCGTGATAATTTTAGGCATTAAAGTTTAATAGTCAAACCATATAAAAATTGCGCTATACTTCTGCGTATTTCAATGTATCTCAACGTTCTTTATCACAAATATAAACTTATATTTATCGAGCAGAGAAAGCTTTTAAGAAAGCATACAGCCGGAACATTAGCCCCACTGCACGACGTGGTTTAGGTTTCAATGAGTTGAGGTACTAGACTATCGCCGCCGCCATAAAATTTATGTAATACAATATGGCTGAGACGTTATAGCTCACGCGAAAATTAACCATACTATTTTGCGTATAAACACGTCCTTGTTAATTAAAAGAAATCTTCTTATTTTTGTCTCTTCTTTATGCGTTATATTTTTTTGTTGAAAGTAATTTTACGTCCACTATGAGTTTGCCGAACGCTCATAAATTTAAACTATATACCAAAATGCAACGGAGAAACTAGAATCTAAACTTAAAAGGAGAGGAAATCTCGCTTTTTGTGCAAAGAAAAAGTAGCTACATTAACTTAAAGGCTCGTAAATTGAGGAAGTATAATATATATTACGTACGGATGAAGCCGTACGACGAGTGACCGATGAAAAAAGCTCTTAAAAATATCTCAAAACAGACATCCGAATATATTAAATTTCGCCGTTTTTGAAAACATCTCCAACGTCGAATGATAAGTAGTTTAGCGTCMAAAAACGTCAACCGCATGGAGCCAGAGGGCATGGAGCTAATAGACTAGACATATGGAGATGAGATCGAATTCTTTTAATGTGTATATGACGGAGAAATGTGGATTAAAATGCATTTTGACAGCGATGTAAACACAACCGAGGCCACCTGTAATTCATTATCATGTGATCATGTGAATTTCTATTCTTAGCTTTATTACATTTTTAATTTTATTTATAAAAACTAAAGGTATGCACCTGATCAGCAAAAAAACAACAACAACAAAAACAACAACAATAGCGGAAAATGTCCAAAATACACTGGAAAAAATCGCGCGCTTTAAAAGTTGTAACATGTTGAAAATTTGATGTAAATATGATGTAAGTGTCCAAAATTCCGTAAATTTAATTAATGGAAATCATTTTCATCAAATTTACAGAATTTTGGGCACTTGCATCACATTTACATCAAATTTACAACCTTTAAAGCGCGCGATTTTTTTCCAGTGATATTCTAATGATTAGCCAAAGTAAGAAACTTTTCAGGTCTGTTTGGCGCTGCATTGCCTTGTGCAAACAGTCAATTGCCTTTTTGAAACTAGACCGCTATTTTCTAGAGCAAATTAAAACCATAGCTCATAAAGAAAGTAAAAAGGCAAAAACTTATTGCGCAGTTTCTGTCGGACCCTGTCGAAAACAACGAAAACAGCATCGTTGTATATTTGTAAAAAAAAAAAAGATAAATTTAACACCATAAAAAATAAGTAAAACAACTTACTAAGTTACGGTGTAAAATTTATCTTTTTGCACAACTCTTTCTTTAGAAACACCGACGCAGCTCATGCTATAGTTACCGCTAGTTTCCACCATCGCTGTAAGTGACGATGACCACACTGTCAAACTCTTCCTTTTGTATAATGAGCTAAAACTCTCATTATTTTTATCTTTAGGGTATTTGGATAAAAGCCGACTTCATGGAGACCAAGTTCTATTTGCGCATGTGGTTGAGTCGGCTTCCATTATACCGCCCCCCACTTACGCACGTATGTATATATTTTCAATAATGCTGGCCTATTCATTAGCATGACCGCCATCTTCAATATTAACATGACCGCCATCTTGATTTTTCCAAAGTCAAAGCGGGAAGAAATGTTTAAATTCTTTCCTCTGGACCTGCGCCATCTTGAAAGGTAGCCTTGCCTTTGTATCGAAGCGAGACTTCGACCTGAGAGCTTGCAATGATAGATAAACCTGTGAATACATGTTTTAGGTGAAAAAAGGCACGTCATTTCAGGATCAGTCAGCCACTTGCTTTAATGTAAAGATCTTTCAATATGGCGCATGAAATACTTTGTCAAAGTTTATAGTATACTATTTCATGATTTAAAGCGGTTCAAGATGCAAATTTTTCTTTTGAAAATCCATTAGCTATAATTTTCCAAATCAGTGTGAATTTTGTGAATGATTACTTGTATCAATCTTCATTGATCACGTGTTTAGATGGACCGAGCCTCTC